GCGCATGCACTTGCCAGAAAGACAGAGAGAGACAGAGAGAAAGTGAGAAATCACTCCGAATGGCCACACCACAATCCCTTCTCCTCCATTTTCCTCTCGGGATCTTGGGCATGCACACACACCACACGTGCCCAGTGTGAGTTTAAGCCAACAGGTCCGGGACTTGAACCATGTTGACTACATGGTAATCCAGCAACATAGCCATTACGCTAACTGCTGGTCCCAGTCATTGCATATTCTTTATAAAGTTGCTGATCTGAGCTGAGCTGTCTCCATAACATTTTTTTTTTTTAGACTTTTTTCTTTTTCTTTTTTTTGGAGAGGTTTTTGCTACAGGGCATGTGTGCTTACCAGAGAGACAGAGAGATAGAAGTGAGAAATCACCCCCCGGGGGGATGATCACGCCGCAAATACCTTTTCCTCCATTCTCCTCTCAGGACCTTGGGCATGCACGCACACATGCCTGGTGTGAGTTTAAGCCACCAAGTCTGGGACTTGAACTGCAGTTGACTACATGGGAGTCCAGCGACATAGCCATTATGCCATCTGCTCGTCTCCCCTTATAACTTATTTTTGAATTGTGAGAGGCAATTTCCCCATATCATATCTAGATATGATTTCCCCAAATCATATCTAGTAAATAAAACATTACTGGATAAATTTCAGATAGTTTTTCATTCTTAAACTAGAATATAAGGAGAAGAGAAAATGATAACTGAAAGGTAGTTATGACAAATTGAAAGTCATAGTTGCTTGTTTTCTTTTCTTTTTGGTTTTTGCTATAGGGCACGTGCGCTCACCAGACAGACAGAGCAGAGAGAGACAGAGACAGAAAGCGAGAAATCACCTCCAGGGGGGATGGCCACACCGCAATCCCTTCTCCTCCATTCTCCTCTCGGTATCTTGGGCACGCACGCACACGTGCCCAGCGCGAGTTTTAAGCCACCGGGTCCGGGACGCGAACCGTGGTTGACTATGTGGGAGTCCAGTGACATAGCCATTACGCCAACTGCTGGTCCCAAAAGTCATAGTTGCTTCTTTATTGCTTTTGTACTAGGTACTTATGTGTAGATAACTTGGTTGATTATTTTAGTTGTATATAATACTGATGGTATCAAATGAGTATTTAATAAATGCATGGGATAGTTAGTACTTTAACCCCAGTTAGACACAACATAAATACAAGCCTATGGTCAAATGAAGAATTAAGAAAACTCATTATTTTGAAATTAAATCAAAGCACATGCCCTGTATTCCAGTTTCATCCTGAATTAAAGGATACATTTTTTTTTAGAGTTTTTTTTCACTATAGGGCGCGTGTGCTTGCCAGACAGACAGAGACAGAGAGACAGAAAGAGAGAAATCACCCCCCAGGGGGTTGGTCACGCCGCAATCCCTTCTCCTCCATTCTCCTTTTGGGATCTTGGGCACGCACGCACATGCGCCCGGCGTGAGTTTTAAGCCACCGGGTCCGGGACACGAACCGCAGTCGACAACATCGGAGTCCAGCAACATAGCCATTAAGCTAACTGCTGGTTCCCTTAAAGGATACATTTGACACATACAAATTTTTTATCTGTTTCTTCAGTGGAGACTGATAAAACTTATTAGGTCTAAAGTAAGTGTATTTTTCACATAATGAATAGAGCTCTTTTCCCCACTCATTATTTGATTTTACAAAGTTCAGAAGACTGAGGTAGTAATCACACTGTAAAGATTTTCCAGCTACTTTTTTGGTTCTAGGATCATAGGAAGTGCCTGTGCCTCATCTTTTCCCGACCCTGGGAATGCTGGCCTATCTGTCCAATTCTCTGTTTCTCCATAAAGGTAAGTGGGATGGCACCATACCATAATGGCAAGAAGGCTGAGTAGAAAGCTGGCCAGAAAAATGATGATGCCATAAAAATAAAGTGTGCTACAGACAGATGTGTTGGCAGAAGATGGGAGTTCAGCCATGGCTGATGGTGGTGAGTACATCAGGATACACCTAGGAAGAGAATCAATGGATAGGAACACCATTACAGATGTAAGATGACGGATACTCATTCAGCCCATCAAAAATTAATGAGTACATAATTGTACTTACCATTTTGCTAAGTCTTGCCCACAGGGTTCCTCCTCATGGACATATTGTCTTGTATTGATACTTTGTGTTATATTTTCATTTACGTCTTTTTACCTTTGAGTATATCTTTTCCAATATAATTATCCCATTTCCAATACAAGCACTTTAATCAGCATGTACATAGAAAATCTTTTTCCGGGACCAGCAGGTGGCGTGGTGGTTAAGGCACTGGACACTCCCACATGGCCGACCACGGTTCGAGTCCCGGACCTGGTGGCTTGCTTTCTCATTTTTCCCTCTCTCTCTCTCTGTGTGTCTCTCTCTGGTCAAATTAAAAAGTAAATGAGTGGACAAATAAATAAATAATTTTAAAAATATGCTAACCTTAAAAAAAAAAAAAAAAGAAAATCTTTTTCCAGTTCTACTGGGAATGATAGAATTGATCCTTATTTACCTGTGGTTCTGGCTGAAGTTGTGGAAACATTCACTGGCGTTGCCCAGACAGAATACAGGTGTCATCAATAGTAGAGGTATCAGGCTGATAGAAAAAAAGACTTAACACTTTAATATCCCTACTTTTTCATGCCTTTCCTCCTTTGAAGAATATTTTCCTAATTTCCCCCAACTCTATCACCCTACCAATCTTCACTAATACTATATGTTCAACTTCTTACCTCAAATACCTTAATATTCCTTCTTTTCTAATTCCTGTGGAAGTGGACTATAGAATGGAATGGATTTTCTTTTTTTTTTTTTCTTGTTCTTCTTTTTATTTTTTTTTCTGGAGAGGTTTTTGCTATAGGGTGTGTGAGCTTGCCAGAAAGACAGAGAGACAGAGAGACAGAAAGCGAGAAATTGCCACCCATGGGGAATGGCCACACCCGCAATCCCTTCTCCTTCATTCTCCTCTTGGGATCTTGGGCACACATGCACATGCGCCCGGCCCGGCATGAGTTTAAGCCACTGGGTCCAGGACTCAAATCACGGTCGACTACATGGGAGTCTAGTGACATAGTCATTATGCTAACTGCTGGTCCCTGGAATGGATTTTCTTTAAAACAGATTTTTGCTATAGGGTGCATGCACTTGCCAGAGAGATAGAAGGTAAGAAATCACCCCTTCCCGAGGGGAGTGGCCAGGTGTAATCTCTTCTCCTCTACTCTCCTGGGATTCTGGGCATGTACATACACACATACCCAGCCTGAGTTTCAGGCCCTGGGTCCAGGACTTGAACCATGGTCAGCCATGTGGGAGTCCAGTGCCTTAACTATTATACCACATGCTGGCCCCAGGAAAGGATTTTTTAACCTAATAATCCCTAATAGAGTTTTATAGAGAATCTCTGGGATTTTATGGTCAGATAAAAATCCAAGTAGGTCAAGGTAAAGGAAAATCTACCAAAGATCTCTGTGTACAATCTGTTCCACTTTTTAAAAAAAGTATTTATTTATTATTTTAATTTGCTATAGGTCACATGTACTAACCAGAGAGAGACAAAGAGAGAGAGAGAAGGCAAGCCGCCATGTCCAGGACTCTCACATGGTTGACCATGTGAAAGTCCAGCACCTAAACCACCTCGCCACCTGCTGACTCCAATCTGTTTCACTTTTCATGGTGACCTAGAGTAACTTCATTCTCAACAGTCCAATTCCTGACAGATTTCCCAAAGTATACCTTTAAATAGTCATCTATTGGGACCGGCAATTGCCGTAATGGCTATGTCATTGGACTCCCATGTAGTTGACCGTGGTTCAAATCCTGGACCCGGTGGCTTAAACTCACTCCAGGCGTGTGTGTGTGCATGCCCAAGATCCCAAGAGGAGAATGGAGGAGAAGGGATTGTGGTGTGGCCATCCCCCTGGGGGATGATTTCTTGCTTTCTGTTTCTCTGTTTCTCTCTTTCTGGCAAGCACACATGCCCTATAGCAAAAACCTCTTAAAAAAAAAAAAGCCAGCTATTTATTCAGCTAAATATAGTTAGTTTCCTTTAAAAGAAGAAGATCCATGAGTAAATGTTAAAAAGTTTAAAATCAACTTGATGTGACCATCATTTTAGATGAGATCCAGATCCTTTCTAGGATTATAATCCTAATAGTCTCACCCAATGTCATAAAGTTTAAGGTAATCTATTATAACTCTTTATAATATTGGGAAAAAAATTAAAGGTCTAGAGGCCATCCTATGGCATGGTGGCTTAAACTCACGCAGTGTGTGTGTGCGCCAAAGATCCTGAGAGGAGAATGGAGGAGAAGGGATTGCGGTATGGCCATCCCCCTTGGGGGGTGATTTCTCGTTTTCTGTCTCTCTGTCTCTATCTGTCTTTCTGCCAAGTGCATGTGCCCTATAGCAAACAAAACAAAACAAAACAAACGAAACAAAACAAAAACATACTCAAAAAACAAAAACCCAGACCTATAAAATCAAACTGCTTCCCTTCTCTATGTGAGAGAATGGAACCAATGATCATATATTTACTAGCTCCTCCTCAATAAAGTTTGTGAGTACCTAAGATTGACAGTGGTTATGAAAGGTACTGTCCTATTTGTTCCCTCCTGGACAACAGAATAATAATAGTCTATACATTGCTAAGAAGGAAAAAAATTAATCTTACCTTGGCAAAATGAAGGCTATCTGACCAACTCGACAAGTAGAATCTATCACCTATGAATAGAATAAATGTGAGAAATGTTTTAGGACATTGTCAATCACACTGCAATAAATAGCAGTTCAGGGCCAGCCCATAGCCTAGAAGGATTTCTTACTGAATCAAACCAGGCAGGGATACAAGTACTGTAAATGTTTCTTATTATCCAACCTTGTGAGTGCGTGTGCATGTGCGTGTGTGTGTGTGTGTGTGTGTGTGTGTGTGTTATGTTTAGAGAGAAGTGATGTCAACAGAATTCAAACTCTGTAAGAACATGGTTTTATTTTTAAATTAACCTCCATAAATTCACCTAGCTAGTGCTGAGTGCATGTAATGTTTACTAGAAATATATGGGGTTTGCCTTGGCATTCTATTCTCAACTATCAGCTCTGAATAAAACTTACCAGTGGAGATGTGCTCTGTCCACTCTGGTTGTGTTTTATCCTCAGCTCTGTGTACAGATACCAGATATAATTGACAGTGTAGAAAAATGAAGAAACGTAGAATATCTAGATAAAAGTTAAAACAACCACACTCACTTTCTTCAACTTACTTTATTTTATTTATTTATTTATTTATTTATTTATAGTTTATGCTATACTCACATATACTTGCTGGAGAGACAGAGAGACAAAAAGTGAGAAACCACCCCCTCGGGGGATAGCCATACTACAATCCCTTCGCCTCCACTCTTCTCTCAGGATTTTGGGATGCAAGCACATGCACCTGGAGTGAGTTTTAAACCACCAGGTCTGGGACTCAAACTGCAGTCGACTATGAGAGTCCAGTGCTGTAACCATTAAGTCCATCTGCTGGTCCCTATTCCATTATTTTCCATTATGTCTACTGATCTATTACTAGCATATCATTTAGTATCCATACCAGGCCCACCTAAAAACATGACCAGCTTCCTTATTTTAACCTTTTGTCTACTCAGTAGAACAACAATATTATCCACGTCTTCTCACTCAATTGTTCCACTTTTATGAAATTATAAAATCTATTTCTATTTTTTTAAAATTGGAAAGGCATTAATGAGTTCCTTTTATTTATTTTAGTTTGCTATAGGGTGCATGCACTCAAGGAGAGAAAGAAAAAGTAAGAAATCGCCCTCTTTGAGGGGACAGCCACGCCATAATCCCATCTCCATTCTTCTCTCAGGATTTTGGGCATACATGCACATGTGCCAGGCATGATTTTCAAGCTACCACACCACCTGGCTAGCCCGTGGGTTTCCATTTCTAATAATGGTAGCCTAAGCTATTTGAACCAAACTTTCCATTCAAACGAACTAAACAGATTTTGACTAGAACCAGTCTTCCAGTAATTCACCAAAATGACAGATACAAAGCGAAAGAGGAAATGTACCTGATATCTGTTCTTGAGGTCTTTTGGAAAACCTAAGTTTATGGGGCCAGCAGGTGGTGTGGTGGTTAAGGGTACTGAACTTCCACATGGCCAACCACAGTTCGAGTTCCAGACCGGGCAGCTTGCTTTCTCACTTTCCCCTCTCTTTCTCTCACTGTCCCTCTCTTGTCAAATTAAAATAAGATAAATAAATAAAATGAATAAAGTTAAATAATTTTTTAAAAAAGAATAGTGTGTGCATCAGCCAGGAAGTATGGTGGTTAAGGTGGCTAGATCCCACATGGCTGACTTCATAGGTTTTTGTTTGTTTGTTTGTTTTCTGGTATTTAAAAAAAATCTTTTTGCCATAGGGCACAAAGGCTTGCTAGAGAGAGACAGAGGGAAAGTGAAATTCCCCCTCCCCCCCACCTCAGAGAAGATGGCCACATTGCAATCCCCTCTCCTCCACTTCTACATGTCCAAAATCCAAGAGGAAAATAGAGAAGGGACTGCAGCATGGTCCTACCCCCTTAGTTGTGCTTTCTCACTTTTTCTCTTAAGATAGGAATAAGATCTCTGGCTAGGTAGATAGGGTTAGGAGTCCATGGAATGGAGAATTTGAGACAAGATTGAGTCACAATAGTCAAGCCTTTAATACAAATCATTTGTGACTCTTACTAAAAATGAATTATTAGCCTTCATTGCCTGTTTACACAGAAAGCTGCTTGCAGCCTGCTTGAGATAATGACAAGTGAAGTTAGCATTTTTTATATTATTCCTACATTCCAAACAAAGAGTGTAGTCTCCTCTAGTCTAGAGAGCAAGAGAGCAAAAAACCTTGAGCTATTGTTTGAAAGATGGGAACATGGCATTCTGGTTTGCACCTGTGAAATAAGGGGGTCTAAACAAGGTTACATTTTGGAAGTACAAGAGGAAAATACATCAAAGAACAAAGCTTCATCTTAGACTTGTAGAAAACATGATTAAAAACTAGAAACTTGGGACCAGCAGATGGCATAATGGTTAATTTGCTGGACTCCCACATAGCTGACCGTGGGTTGAGTCTTGGACATGGAGGCTTAAAACTTAACATTGGGCATGTGTGTGACTGGAGAAGGAAGAGACTGCAGCATCGCCATTCCCCGTGGGATGTGTTTTCTTGCTTTCTGTCTCTGTCTCTCCAGAGAGCGCACACTCTCTATACTAAAAATCTCTCTCAAAAATAAATAAAAAACTAGAAACTTTATGGGCCACAGACCTCAGTTAATAAATTAAGGTCTGGGGGCTGGCAGGGTGGTTCAACTCTCCTAACCATGTGGGAACACGGCCGACCACAGTTCAAGTCCTGGAACTGGTGGCTTGCTTTCTCACTTTCTCTCTCTCTCTCACTCTGTCCTTCTTTGGTCAAACAGAAATAAATAAATGAATTTTTAAAAGTTCAATAAAATAATTCTTTTAAAAAATAAATTAAGGTCTGAATGTCTAAAGTCTTGTGTTTTGTGAGCCCATTCCCAAAGAGGAGAATGATGTAAGTGCCCGGATATGTAGTAATCATGAGGGAAACACATGCACAAGTCCCTCCTTGCTGGGACAAAAACTCCTCATCCCGGGTCCAGCAGATGGCATAATAGCTACATCGCTGGACTCTAATGTAGTCAACTGCAGTTCAAGTCCCGACCTGGTGGCTAAAACTCACACCAGGCTCATGTGCGTGTGTGCTCAAGAACCCGAGAAGAGAATGGAGAAGATTGCAGCATAGCATGGCTATTCTCCCTGGGGGGGGGGGTGATTTCTCGCTTTCTCTCTGTCTGTCTGTCTGTCTGGTGAGCACATGCACCCTATAGCAAAAACCTCTCCAAAGAGAGAGAGATTGAGGCCAGCAGATGGCTTGATGGTTAAGGTGTTGGAATCCCAGATGGTCAACTGCGGTTTGAGTACTGGACCTGGCAGCTTGCCTTTTCACTTTCTTTCTCTCTCTGTTGAGCATGTGTACCCTGCAGCAAATTAAAATAATAATAATAAATAAAATAAAAGTAATTCTAAAAAAATAGTTACCAATCCAATATAAAAATACTCTCATACTGTCTGTCAGTTATATATCAGGAAAGCTGGAAAAAAGTCTCCTTTTGGCTATTGATCAGCAGAAGTTTATTTGCATTTTTATATTTAAACCATTAGAAGACTGTAAAAATCACAATGTTATATAAAGCCCTAGCCACTGTAAAATTTAGGTCTTGGGGTTAAGGTGGACTGAATCCAACAGGTTAGAAAGGCAAAGACTAAATTAACAATCCAAGGTTGTGAAATCTAATTCTAGATGAAAGGAAATATTGTTTTTGAAGAGGTTTTTGCTATAGGGCGCTTGTGCTTGCCAGAGAGACAGTGAGAAATCACCCCCCAGGAGGGATGGCCATGACGCAATCCCTTCTCCTCCATTCTCCTCTTGGGATCTTGGGCACGCACACACACATGCCTGGCAGAGTTTAAGCCATTGGGTCCAGGCCTCGAACCACGGTTGGCTACATGAGAGTCCAGCGACATAGCCATTACATTAACTGTTGGTCCCGAGAGGATATTTTTAGATCCTGCTTGCTTTCTATTGTCAGGCAGATAAAGAAAGTAATGAATCAGTAAGTATATGGAGGAAATGAAAGACCTGCAGGTGAATCCTGTTTTTGAGAAAGTTGGAAAAGATTCTATTTTGCTTCCAAAAATAAAAACAATAGTTTATACTAACTTACAGCAAACGCTTTGCATTATTTTAATCTAATTTAATCTTCACAACAGCTTTAAGAACTCTATCATTATTCCTGTTTCACATAGGAAAACTGAGGCTTAAACAAGTTAACTTTCTTATAAATCATGCAAGTTAATAAGTTTCAAAGTTGGAATTTAAACCCAGGTTTGTCTGACTATAAACACTAGGCTTTAACTCTAAACCACAACGTGACGTCATCTGCAACCCAAACTGGTAACTGAAGTATCTGATCAGCACTTTCTTCGAAGAAATAAAACTGGATCTAGTCACTAAGAAAAGGTGGTGACTACTGGCACTTCAACCTGTGTCCAAGTGTACAACAGTAGAGGCAGGAGTAGAGAGGCTCAGTGGGGTAGTACCTGACACTGCCATTGTTCCCTTATCTTTGTTTCTCCACAGTAGTTATCCCTAGTAAACAGAAATCTTAGCACAATATTCCTAGACCCTTTGGAGAAAGTATGGAATTTGTTCCTTACCCAAGGTTGATCTGGGGGATCAACCAAATTAATCCTCTCAGTGCAGAGCCAGTCATATCACAGAATAAAATAAAAATCTCAGCAGCTCAGGCTTTGGATTAGGTTTCATCTTTCAGAGCCTGATGCTGCAGGGTAGGCAAAGCCTTTTAATTTATATGTTATTCCAGCACTGTAACATCTGTTTTCTGGTTGGTTGAGTTCACAAAAGTATCACTTGGACAAACCCTTATCTCAGCCTACTAATTAAAATCTGAAATTCTTTCTGATGGTTTGGTTCTCAAATTACTTTACTTCTCAGGTAAATTCCAGAAGAGAAGACCAGCGCTTGGTAAATTATTGATTTCTTCTGTTCCAGCTCAGTGAAGCAGCATATGGGTGATCCAGCTGTATTGGGCCTTTTCTCCTCCCTGTTCAGCTCTGTTCCCTACATCTGAATTAGGCAGGAACCAAATAACTCCAGGCACATAATAAAGTTATAAGAGGTGAACATGGGGGGTCGGCAGGTGGCATGGTGGTTAAGAACGCTGGACTCCTATATGGCCGATTGCGGTCTGAGTCCTGGATCTGGCAGCTTTCTCTCTCTCTCTCTCTTTCTCTCTCTGTCCCTCTCTGGTCAAATTAAAAATAAATGAATAAACTGTACCAGCAGTTGGCATAATGGTTATGTTTCTAGACTCCCATGCAGTCAACCACGGTTCGAGTCCCAGGCCCAGTGGCTTAAACTCACACCAGGCGTGTATGCATGCATGTCCAATATCCCAAGAGGAGAATGGAGAAGGGATTGTGGTGTGGCCATCCCCCCGGGGGGTGATTTCTCGCTTTCTATCTCTCTCTTTCTGGCAAGCACACACACCCTATAGCAAAAACCTCTCAAAATAACAATAAATGAATAAATAAAGTTTAAAAAATTCTTAAGAAAAAAAAGACTAGTTCTAATTTGTGTCCCACATGCACCCAGTAGAGGAAAACCTCAAAACAGAAAAAAAATAAAACTGTGTCCTAAATCCAAAAAGAACATTAAAAAGCCATTTAGAGCAGTAACTTACAAATTCCATTTGAGAAATTAATGCTGGGAGCCATCAGGTGGGATAGTGGTTAAGGCGCTATATTCCTATGTGGCTGACCACAGTCTGAGTCACAGATCTGGTGGCTTGCTTTCTCGCTTTCTCTCTATCTATCTATCTCTGGTGCATGCACGTGCTCTATAACAAATTTAAAAATATATAAATAATAATAGTAATTATTTAAAAGAGAGAGAGCAAGAGAAATTATTGCTGATCCCTGACCCTGAATAAGAAAACCTGAGGAATGAAATGAGTTTTGCATGTGATTAGTTTTTTTAAAAAGAATTTATTTAACTTTATTTATTTACTTATTTATTTATTTTAATTTGACCAGAGAGGGACAGGGGGAGAGAGAGAAAAAAAAAAAAAAAGAAAGAGAGAGGGAGGGGAAGTGGGAAAGCAAGCCACCAGGTTCAGGACTTGAACCATGGTCAGCCATGTGGGAGTTCAGTGCCCTTAACCACCACACCACCTGTTGGCCCTTCATGTGACTAAATTTACTAATTTAAAAAACGACCCATTGGGACCGGCAGATGGCATAATGGTTATATTGTTAGACTCGCACATGGCCAGCGGCTGTTCAAATCCAAGACCTGGCAGCTTAAAACTCACGCCTGGCATATGTGCACGCATGCCCAAAATCCCAAGAGGAGAATGGAGGAGAAGGAATTGTGGTGTGGCCACCCTCTGGGGGTTATTTCTCACTTTCTGTCTCTCTGGTGAGCACACATGCCATATAGCAAAAACGCTCTCTCTTAAAAAAAAACAAAAAAACAAAATAAAAAAAACACCCTTTATGCGCCAGCCAAGTAGCATGGTGGTTAAAGGGCTAAATCTCACACAGTTGACTGTGTTTGAGTCCTTGACTCAGTGGTTTGAAAAACAATCCAGGCACGTATTTATATGGCCAAAATCCGGAGAGGAGAATGGAGGAAAAGGAATTGTGGTGTGTTCATCCCCACCCCAACCCAGGGGGAGTGCTTTCCCACTTTCTTCTCTCTCTCTCTTTCTATTGCATGTGCCCTAAATAAAAAATAAAATAAAATAAAAAGAAATTAAAAAAAAACCTTTAGGGACTGGTTCAATGGTACAGCTGTAACACACTGCTGCAGTGATGATGGATCTATTTAGAAGACTTGGATTCAATTTCTGGGTTGATCTGTATATACTAGGTGCACATGTCCATGATTACAGCTGGCTGGGAATGCTAGGGAGGTGGTGCTGCTTGTAGTGTGAGACACTGTTGAGGGTGCTTGTATTTCTTTCTTTCTCTCTCTTTGTATTTCTGCCTATGTCTCTTGCTCTCATGAAAAAAAACACTATTTAAAAAGAAAAAAAAAATCATGCTTTATTCTGTGAGTACATTTTGCCACACTCCTTGGTCTCAAATGCTATTTCTTTTATGAAATTACACAGTCTTTTCTTATAAAGAATGTTTTATTAGTAGTAGTACTATACACACACACACACACACACACACACATATAAGAATTATTTTGTTTAACTTATTTATTTATTTATTTACTTACTTATTTTAATTTGTCTAGAGAGGGACAGAATGAGAGAGAGAAAGTGAGAATGCAAGCCACCAGGTCTGGGAATCGAACCACAGTCAGCCAGGTAGGAGTCCAGTGTCCTTAACCACCATGCCTCCTGCCAGCCCCAATTATTATTATATTTTTAATTAGCTACAGGGAACATGCGCTCACCGGAGAGATGGAGAGGGAGGGAGGAAGGGAGAGGGAGAAGTTCAGCACCTTGATTACCATGCCACCTGCTGGCCTAGTTAGTTTTTTTTTTTTTAAGAATGACTTAATTTAATTTTATTTATTCATTTAAATTTGACCACAGAGGGACTTAGTGAAAGAGAGTGAGAGTGATGGAAAGTTAGAAAACAAGCCACAGGTCCAGGACTTGAACCATGGTTGGCCATATGGGAGTCTAGTGCCCTTAACCACCATGCCAACAGCGGGTCCCCACAGTTAGTTGTTTTTAAAATGTCACCAGGACCAGCACTTAGCATAATGGCTATGTCACTGGATTCCCATGTAGTTGACCGCAGTTCAAGTCCCAGATCTGGTGGCTTATACTCACACCAGGCGTGTGTGCGTGCGTGCCCAAGATCCCAAGAGGAGAATGGAGGAGAAGGGATTGTGGCATGGCCATCCCCCCTTGGGGGGGTGATTTCTTGCTTTCTGTCTCTCTGTCTCTGTCTTTCTGGCGAGCGCATGCGCTCTATAGCAAAAACCTCTTCAAAAAAAGAAAAAAAAATGCCATTAATATACCAAAACATTAAGTGGGCAACATTATGACATCTCCTACATATTTAGTTATAGTTTTACCATTTGTGAAGTCCTGAAGTTGAGGAACCACTGAACCACTTCTTGAGTGCATCAATTGACTTTCAGGTAAAAGTTAGCAAATTCATTTCACACAGATGAAAATTATGGACATATTTGATAAGAAAACATCAAAGTGATCCTACTGATTTATTCTTGTCATAACAACCTCCAAGATTTCTATTTAAAACTACTGGGAAAGGCATGATACATTTTTCCATAGAAAAACATAGAAAAATAAAAATATACCATGATTTTCCTGACAACCTAATAAATTCATTCTTACTACTACGTAAGCCCATTTTCTTAATTTTGCATCATTGGAAAAGATCAATAACTGATAGTCATGTTCTAAAAAGCTTAGCAACACTTTCCAGAAAGGTTAAAGACTTTTATTTATTTTATTTTTTTTGAGAGAGAGACTTTTGCTATAGGACACATGTGCTTACCAGAGAGACAGAGAGAAACAGAGAGACAGAAAGTGAGAAATCACCCCCTAGGGGAGATAGCCATGCCACAATCTCTTTTCCATTCTTCTCTTGGGATTTTGAATACACAAGCAAATGTGCTCAGCGTGTTTCAAGCCACCAGGTTCAGGACTTGAACTGCCGTCAAGCACATGGGAGTCCAGAGACTTAACCACCATGCCATCTGCTGGCCCCAAGACTTTTTTCCAAAAGCGTCTTCCTGCTCAAAGAACAGGACTGAAAATCTAGATTCAAAAACTAGGCTATCTTTGTTTAGATCAGGTGATTGGCTCTCTTTCTTTACTATGACTCTCCAAAAGTCTAGGACCTCTTCATTTGCCATACAAAGGAATGCTCCACTTCTCCCAACCACTAATTTTTTTTTCTCAAGAATCAGATAGAGGAGAATTTTGAAAAGTGGAGACAGTTCATCTAAACCGATCAAATTCAAACTGTAGTGCTGCCTCTGTGGTGTTGCAGTAAGTTGCCCCCCAGAAGAAACCTAATTCCATATTGCAACTGCAGTTTGAGTCCCTGGCCTGATCAGCCTAAAACACACCAGGTATGCACATGAGTACCTAGGAGTCAACAGGCTGAAGGACTGGAGGAATGAGATCATGGCGTGACCAGACTTGCACAGGGTGCTTGGTTCTCTCTCAATCTTTCTTGCACATGCACAAACACTCATACACACACACACACACACACACACACACACACACACAAAGCATGTGCTCTATCATAAACAAAGGAAAAGAAAAGACTCGAAGTGTAGAAATAGGGGGCAGGAAAAGGAGGTGAACGTTTACTTTTCCTGCTTAACCCTCTTTAATCCTCTCTAGTATTTTAATTTTTATTGTGAACATGATTAGTTTTATAAATTCTACATACTAAATTTTTTAATACAGATAAACAAAAATAAAAATCTTTAATTTTGGGGGGGTAGAGAGAGGTTTTTGTTATAGGACGTGTACGCTTGCCAGAAAGACAGAGACATAGAGACAGAAAGCGAGAAATCACCCCCTAGGGGGAATAGTCACACCGCGATCCCTTCTCCTCCATACTGCTCTCAGGATCTTGGGCATGCACACACATGTGCCTGGCATGAGTTTAAGCCACTGGGTCTGGGACTCAAACCGCGGTCGACTCCATGGGAGTCCAGCAACGTAGCCATTATGTCATATGCTGATCCCCAAATCTTTCATTGTTAAGGAATATTCATATATATATATGTGTGTGTGTGTGTATACATATATATAATTATTTATTTGTTTTTATTTAAAAATTTGCTATAGGGCACATGCACTCACCAAAGAGAGAGAGGGAAAGTGAGAAAGAAAGTCACCAGGTCTGAGACTCAAAACATGGTCAGCCATGTAGCCGACTGCAGTTCAAGTCCCAGACCCAGTAGCTTAAACTCACGCCCAGCGCGTGTGCATGCATGCCCAGGATTCCAGAGAGACACAGAGTGACAGAGAGACAGAAAGCAAGAAATCACCCTCCAAGGGGTATGGCCATGCCAAAATCCCTTCTCCATTCTCCTCTCAGGATCTGATTGTGCATTTCTTGTAATGTGTACTTAGTCAGGTAGCACTCACCTGTCCCACTGTTTGCAGGTTATAGCAGATGACATCCTTATTGTCTCCTGAAGTTCCATAGAGTAGTGTCTCTATGAGCCAACAAATTCCAAGAAGCAAGTCAGAGAAGCTCAGATAAAAGAGTGGCCTTATCTGTCAAAGCAACAAAAGTCCTCATTTCCTAAATAGTCAGGGAAACAAAATACTATTTTAAAGTTTTTTTAAAAGAACTATTTGCTTTATTTTATTTGTTATTATTATTTTTAATAATTATTTTATTTAACTTTATTTACTTTAATTTGACCAGAGAGGGATGGAGAGAGAGTAAGTAAGAAAGCAAACGACCAGGTTCAGGATACAAGCAGCGGTCGGCCATGTGGGAGTCCAGAGCCCTTAACCACCACGCCACCTGCTGGTCCCTATTTTTAAGTTTTATGTTTAGTAAAAAGTGGTCATATTTTTTCAGAATCTCTGTGATCGACTATGAGGAATAAAAAGGAAGAATCCAGATAATAAGGAATCTGTAATCACAGCTTCGTCAACTGTCCTGGAATCAGAGTACTAATAGAGAGATTAACACTAGACCTTCTTACTCACAGGAATGCTCCTTTCTCAAATATAGTGTCAAAGAAAGAATAGACAGGTGGGAAATTCTGTGTAGAGATATACCACAAATAAACAACTGAGAGTTTTCTAGTTACCCAACTAACAATTTCTAAAAATAGAAAATGAGCTCATCTGAGATGTGGTTGAAAGCTTAAAATAAAAATATGCTTTCACAACAATACAAAGTCAGGATGGAGAAAATTAACAGCATGTATTATATATGTTGCCTATCATTTTCTGCTCACATTGCTGAAACTAGTCCTCTTATTTTCTAACATCTTTCTTTTGACCTCCTCATTCTCACTTATTGGAAAACAGTGTTGGTACTTTTTTTTTTTTTTTAAGAGATTTTTGCCAGAGGGCAAATGCACTTGCCAGAGAGACAGAGAGAGATAGAAAGTGAGAAATTATTCCCCAGGGTAATGATCACAACACAATCCTTTTTCCTCTATTCTCCTCTTGGGATTTTGGGCATGTACACACATGTGCCCAGCATGTTTCAAGTCGCCAGGTTTGGGACTTGAACAATGGTCAACCTTGTGGGAGTCTAGTGCCTTAATCACACCCTGATCTTTGTTTTTAGGTTTTTGCTATAGGGTGTGTGTGCTAGCTGGAGAGAGACAGAGAGTAAAAGTGAGAAATTGCCCCCATCAAGGGGGATTGACCATGCTGCAATGCAATCCCTTTTCCTCCATTTTCCTCTTAGGATTTTGGGCATGCATACACACACGCCTGGCATGATTCTCAGGATCCGTCTAGGTCCACGATTTGAACCACAGATGACCATGTGGGAATCCAATACCTTAACTACCAAGTCTCCTGCTGGTCCCCAGTTTGAGAGAGAGATTTTTGCTATAGGATATGTGCGCTCACTAGAGAGAGAGACAGAAAGTGAGAAATCACACCCCAGGGAAAGGGTCATACCATAATCCTTCTTCTCCTGCCTCCTCTTGGGATTTTAGACATGCATGTATGTACGCCCAGCATGAGTTTTAAGTTACAGTTTTTGCCTTTCACATTCAGGTTTTATTTTCCCCACTAAAGAATTATTTATTTTATTTTATTTATTATTATTATTTTAAATTTGCTATAGGGCATGCATGCTCACCCAAGAGAAACTGAGAGAGAGGGAAAGTGAGAAAGCAAGCCTCCAGATCCAAGCTGGAACTGCAGTCAGCCATGTGGAGTCCAGTACCTTACCACCATACCACCTGCTAGCCTTCACATTCAGATCTTTCATTCAGTCCTGCCGAGTCCGGGACTTGAACTGCATCTAACTACGCAGGAATTTAGCAACATACCCATTACACCACCTGCTGTTCCCCTCCCCCCAGTTTTGGTCTTTCTATGGGGAAAATTATCAACTGCTTACTAAAAAATACTAAAGAAGATATAACATGAATAAATATGTCATACTCATGGATTTTTTTTTTTTGGAGAGGTTTTCACTATAGGGCGCGTGTGCTCGCCAGAGAGACAGAGAGAGACATAGAGACAGAAAGTGAGAAATCACCCCCCAGGGAGGATGGTCACACCGCAATCCCTTCTCCTCCATTCTCCTCTCGGGATCTTGGGCACGCACACACACGCACCTGGCGTGAGTTTTAAGCTACCAGGTCCAGGACGCGAACCGTGGTCGACTACGTGGTTCCCCTCATGGATTTTAAGATGCAATATTATAAAAATGTCAATTCTCCCTAAATTGAACTACAAATTAAATGTAATCTAAATAAAATCTCAACCCATTTTCCTGTGGAACTTGATAAACTAACTCTAAATATGATATAGAAATACAAAATGCCAAGATAACCAAGACACTCATGAAGAAAAAGAAGCAGGAGAACTTGCCATATCATATCTTGAGACTTAAGGCTAGAGTACGAATGTTACAGAACTAGCACAAGGATGGGCAACTATGACAGATAAAAAGTACAGAAGGTTTTTTTTTTCAATTAGTGGGGAAAAAAGTAGTCTTTTCAAAATATGGTATTATAACAACTAAGTATCCACATGGGGAAAAAATGAAAGTAGACTCCTACTTATATCTTATACTCCACTAAAAATTGAGTTTCCAGGTGGTAATGTGAAGGCCAGCAGCTGGTGTGATGGTTAAGGGACGGGGCTCCATGTGTTTTTTTGTTGTTTTTTTTTGTTTTGGAGAGGCTTTTTTTTTTTTTTTTTTGCTATAGGGCGCATGCACTCACCAGACAGACAGAGAGAGACAGAGAGACAGAAAGCAAGAAATCGCCCCCCAAGGGGGATGGCCACACCGCAATCCCTTCTACTCCATTCTCCTCTTAGGATCTTGGGCACGCACGCACACATGCCCGGCGTGAGTTTTAAGCCACTGGGTCCGGGATGCGAACTGTGGCCAACTACATGGGAGTCCAGTGACATAGCCATTACGCTAACTGCTGGTCCCTCCATGTATTTTTTTGTTTGTTTTGTAGAGCAGTTTTGTTATAGGGCTTATGCGCTTGCTGAAAAGACAGAAACAGAGAGACAGAAAGCGAGAAATCGCCCCCCAGGGGGGATGGCCATGCCACAATCCCTTCTCCTCCATTCTTCTCTTGAGCTTTTAGGCATGCATGCACACATGTCCAGGGTGAGTTTTAAGCTGCTGGTTTGAAACTCAAACCGTGGCCAACTACTTACGAGTTTAGCAATACCTGCTGGTCCCTTGTTGTTGTTGTTTTTTTCTTTTTTTAAGAGAGATTTTTGCTATAGGGTGCATGTGCTCGCTGGAGAGGAAGGGAGAAACAGAGAGACAGAAAGCAAGAAATCATCCCCCAGAGGGGATAGCCACACCACAATCCCTTCTTCATTCTCCTCTTAGGATCTTGGGCACGCACGCATGCACATGCACCCAGCGTGAGTTTTAAGCCACCAGGTCCAGGACTTGAACTGCAGTTGACTACATGGGAGTCCAGCAACATAACCATTATGCCATCTGCTGCCCTCCCTTTTAAAAATTATTTATTTATTTATTTATTTATTTATTTATTTATTTATTTATTCATTAATTTATTTTAATTTGACCAGAGAGACACAGAGAGAAAGAGAGAGGGAGGAAAAGTTAGAAAGCAAGCCACCAGGTTCGGGACTTGAACCGTGGTCAGCCATATGGGAGTGTCAGCACCTTAACTATCAAGCCACTTGCTGATTCCTGCTCCCCCCCCTTTTTTTAAAGAGAGATTTTTGCTACAGGGTGCATGTGCTCACCAGAGAGACAGACAGAAGGAGAGAAATCACCCCCGGGGGATGGTTACATCGTAATCACTTCTCCATTCTCCTTGCGGGACTTTGGGTATGCACACACACGTAGCCAGGGTGAGTTTTAAGCCACTAGACCTAGCACTTGAACCTCATCAACTACATGGAGGCCCAGCGACATAACCATTACTCCATCTGCTAGTCTCCTATTTCAAACATTTTTAAAGTCTGGCAACATCAAGTATAATGAGAACAATGAGACCAGCAGTTAGCATAATGGCTATGTCGTTGGACTCCCACATAGTCGACCGTGGTTCGAGTCCCGGACCTGGTGGCTTAAACTCACGCCGGGTGCATGTGCGTGTGTGCCCAGGATCCCGAGAGAAGAATGGAGGAGAAGGGATTGCGGCGTGACCATCCCCCCTGGGGGGTGATTTCTCGCTTTCTGTCTCTCTGTCTCTCTCTGTCTGTCTGGCGAGCGCACGCGCCCTACAGCAAAAACCTCTCCAAAATGAAGTATAATGAGAACAAGAAACAACGGGACCTTTCGTACACTGTTGGCATAATTGTTTGGAAGAGTTTGACATTTGTGGAGATTGGTTAATTTTTTTAGCCTGATACTGGGCAGATCGAGGTATTGAGTTTTTTGGAGAGGTTTTTTTTCTTTTTTTGCTCTAGGGCACGTATGCTCACCAGACAGAGAGAGACAGAGAGACAGAAAGCGAGAAATCATCCCCCAGGGGATGGCCACGCCGCAATCCCTTCTCCTCCATTCTCCTCTCAGGAACTTGGGCATGCACGCACACACGCCCGGCGTGAGTTTAAGCCACTGGGTCCAGGACTCGAACCGTGGTTGACTACATGGGTAACTGTTGGTCCCACGAGGTACTGAGTTTTAACAAGAGAAGAAAGACAGCCATTGACCACAGGCAGGTACTGCTTTTGTATGTAGATGTTTTTTAATAGTCTTGCTAGAGTAGCTTACAGAAGAGTATATCTGCATGTGTCTTTAGGCCACATGTTCTAATTACATGTTTTTAGATTGGCTGCTCTCCATAGGCATTAATCTAGAAGATGTAGAAGATGTGCAAATTCTATGATAATTCTGATATTAGGTAAATATACTAGGTTAATATGTGCATTTATGTCCTAGAAGACATATATGTTTACCACAGCATAGATAGGTAAATAAATTGTATGTATGTATACTACAGAATGCTAAAATCAATAGAGATGAAATGAACTAGAACAATGTGTAACAATATAAATCTTACAAATAACACTGAAGGGTAAAAGCAAGTCACAAAACAGTGCATAGAAAAAATACAGTATTATTCCATTTATATCACGTTCAAAACAAAATGAAATTTCTTAGAGCTACATATATCACTGCTAAACTACATAAAAGCAAAGAAGTGATTATCACAAAAGTCTGAATAGGTTACCTCTCAAGGTCTAGCTGTGATTTGGAAGAACAACAGTAACTATGTCTGGGGGAAGAGGTAATATTTTATTTCTTGTCACTACCATATTTGTATAAGCATTTTTTTTTAATTTTGTTTTTTAGCTTTTTTGCCATAGGGTGTGTGCATTTGCTGGAGAGATGGAGAGAGACAGAGCGATAGAAAGTGAGCCATCACCTCCTCCATTCTCCTCTTACGATTTTGAGCACGCACACACATACACCTCACATGATTTTCATGCATTCTAGTTCACGTCTGACGTATCTCACAATAAAAAAACACATTAAAAAATTAAAAAACACTCACCAGATAATATTTACTACGAGAAATAACCTCCTCACCTGTATGAAGACAACTTTTCTCATATTTTTCTTCCAAATGAAAGTTAACATGCTAATAAATTTAGCTAAAAGGGCTAAATGGTCAGGTTGCCTCAGTTACCAAAACAAAACAGTGAAATAATGTATAATAAACACATTTTAAACTGTGAAGTATTTAGGCCAGCAGATTATGTAACGGTTATACACCCACATGGCTGACTGCAGTTCCAGTCCTGAACCTGGTAGCCTGAAAATCACACTGGGTGCATGTGTCAAAGATCCCGGCAGGAGGGACTGGAGCATGGCCATCCCCCCTAGGGGTTGATTTCTCACTTTCCCTTTCACTGTCTCTGTCTCTCCCCAGCATATGCATCTTAAGGCAAAAAACTCTAAAAAAAAAAAGTATAATGTATTCGATAAGTATCAGATAGTATAATTTTAACCATATATGGCCTTTGCTCTGGTAAGCCTGCTGAAAATTCCAACCAGCTAGCACATTAATAGATTCTACTGACCTATGAGCTACCACAAGTTTACAACTGTTAACCAGTAAAAAATTAAAACAATATGAAGTAAGTCTGGCAGGAGAAAGGTAGTAAAGAAACTTTTGTAAGCAACATAATTTGGGTTATTAATTCAAGAAGCAGACCTATGGGGTCAGCAGGTGGTATGGTTGGAGCACTGGACTCCCACATGGCCGACTGTGGTTCGAGTTCCAAACCTAGCGGCTTGCTTTCTCACATTCCCTCTTTCTCTTTCTCCCTCTCTCTCTGTTGAGTGCATGTTCCCTATAGCAAATTTAAAATAATAATAATAATAAATAAAATTAAATAAATAATTTCTTTAAAAAAAAAAAGAAACAGCCCTATGCATAGGGAGTTGTTGACTATTAAAACATTCTTAAAGTTGGGCCAGCCCATAGCCTTGTGGTTAAGGGAGACAGACCCCAAATTGCCAACCATAGTTCAATTCCTAACTCTAGCCAATTTGCAAAACACACTAGGCACAAGTTTATGCAAGCCCAAGATGACAACAGGATGGAGAAATAGGTAAGAAAGAATTCCGACGTGACCACACATCACTGGGAATGCTCTCTTCCTCTTTCTGTGCCTCTGGCAAGTGCACATACATCTTCTGGTAATTACCAAAAACCCCTTTGGTTCCATCAAAAACCCTTGTTTGAGGGACCAGCAGTTAGCGTAATGGCTATGTTGCTGGACTCCCATGTAGTCGACCGCGGTTTGAGTCCCAGACCCGGTGGCTTAAACTCACGCCGGGTGTGTGCGTGCGTGCCCAAGATCCCGAGAGGAGAATGGAGAAGGGATTGCAGCGTGGCCATCCCCTTGGGGGGGGGGGATTTCTTACTTTCTGTCTCTCTCTGTCTGTCTAGTGAGCACACGCGACCTATAGCAAAAACCTCTCAAAACCACAACAACAACAACAACAAAACCCCTTGTTTGATGGAACAAAGGATAATAAAAGAAAGTTTGTTTTCTTGCATTTGTGGTGAAAAATCCTAAGTTCTAATAACAGGCAATAAAGTCTATCAAACAATAAAAATTAAATAAGTACTTATTATTGAAGAAAGATTTAATCTCTCCTATGTATAACAAGATACTTTACTGAAAGAGCTAGGAAAAAAACATGTAATTTAACTCCTGCTCTTAAGGAAAATATAATCAGCACAGTGCATGGTAATAGGAAAACCTAAAAAAACCCCATAAGATACAGCCTTAAATATAAAAGCTATAGGGACCAGCAGTTAGCGTAGTGGCTATGTGGCTAGACGCCCATGTAGTTAACCGTGGTTTGAGTCCCGGACCCGGCGGCTTAAACTCATGCTGGGTGTGTGTGCATGCGTGCCCAAGATCCCGAGAGGCGAATGGAAGAGAAGGGATTGCACTGTGGCCATCCCCCCTGGGGGTGATTTCTCTCTTTCTGTCTGTCTTTCTGGCGGCGAGTGCACACGCCCTATATCAAAATCCTCTCCGAAAAAAAAAAAAAAAACTATCACTTTTAAATACACACATACAAATACACATTTCTATTTGTCTCTCATATAAACCAAGAGCAGAATAAGGAGACAGGAAGAAAACTACTTTGTGTGAAAGGTTTTCCTAAGGGAGGTTCTAGTTCCAGGCATATCCTGATAAAAGGAAAAACCCAAAACAAATCATATTAATACTATTATAGACAATTAATACTTTATAGACAATACTTAAAATATTTCAATGTATAATAACTAAGTAATTCACAAATAATTCATAGAATTGCTCGGTTTTTACAAGTAACACCTCTTATTTATTTCAAAGATTAAGTCACTAGAAGTTTACATCCAACACAAAGATAGATTGCTCACCTCTGGATATTTCTGTATATTCTGGAAAACAGCATAGGCAATAAGTGAACTTGAACCTATAACACTGGGAGATAAAAGATGATCATTAAAATAGAACAATCCTTCATTTTTTAAGTTTAAATTTTACTGTTAAAATTATTTTTTAATTTACTATAGGGCATGTGTGCTCACCAGAGAAAGAGAGAGGGAAAGTGAGAAAGTAAACCGTGAAGTCTGGGACTTGAACTATGGTTAGCCATGTAGGAATCCAGTGCCTTAACCAGCATACCACCTGCTTGTCCCAAATCCTTCATTTTTGCTACCGATTTTCTTTTACATTTTTATTGGCATACTTGATATAAAATGAACTGTGTGTGTGTGTGTTCCTCTAGAGATATTTTTGCTAAAGGGCGTGTGTGTTTGCCAGAGAGACAAAGAGACAGAAAGTGAGAAATCACCCCCTTCGGGGATGGACACACTGCAATCCCTTCTCTTCCATTCTCCTGTTGGGATCCTGGGCATGCACGCACATGCGCCTAGTGTGAGGATTTTTTTAAATTAAAGAATTATTTTTTTTAATTTAACTTTATTTATTTCTTTAAATTTGACCCGAGAGGGGTAGAGTATGTATGAACGAGAGAGCTGGAAAGTGAAAAAGAAGGCACTAGTCCCAGGACTCAAACTGCAGTCGGCCATGTGGGAATCCAGTGCCCTTAACCACTATACCACCTGCTGGCCCCTGGTGTGAGTTTTAAGTCACTAGGTCTGGTGTTCAAACCACGGCTGACTACATGGGAGTCCACTAATATAACCATTACGCCATCTGCTGGTTCCAAACTACACATTAAAAAAAATATTTACTTAATTATGTTCATTTTAATTTGACCAGAGAGAGACGGGCAAAGTAAGAAAGCTAGCCACCAGATCCAGGACCCGAATCACAGTCAGCCATGTGGGAATGTCCAGTGCTTTAACCACTATGCAACCTGCTGGCCCCACACATGCACATATTTTAAAAAATATAAGGGACCAGCAGTTGGTGTAATGGCTATGTTGCTAGACTCCCACAGTCAACCCCGGTTCAAATCCTGCAACCAGTGGCTTAAACTCACATCGGGCGCGTGTGCGTGCGTGCCCAAGATCCCAAGAGGAGAATGGAGGAGAAGGGACTGCAGTGTGGCCATCCCCCTGGGGGTTGATTTCTCACTTTCTGTCTCTCTGTCTCCCTCTGTCTTTCTGGTGAGCACACGTGCCCTATTGCTAAAACCTCTCCAAAAAAAAAAAGGAACACTTCACAAATTTGCACATTTGTACAGTGGTCATGCAATCTTCTTTACTATTTTTTAAAATTTTATACAGAGTTTTGCTGTCAAGATCTTCCTGCCTCAGCTTCCTGAGTAGCTGGGATTACAGGTGCACAGCACTGTGCCCATCTAGCTATTAATTTTGCAATCAATTCTGCTTACTAGGTTGTCCACTGATTTCCAAATATTATTCCTCAATCTATTTTTCTGTTATTATTGGTGTTGATGCTGTTATATCTTATTCATCATAAAATATCAACATGGAAATAAATATCATTCCTAACTAAAGACTAAAAGCAAAAGCACATTCCTGTGGGAAAGTGTAGAAAACTGTAGAATTACCTAGTTTTGCTCATAGTAGTTTAGACATGTATGCCACATAACATTAAATTAAATAAACAAACCTTAGAGTAGCCATGACAAATTGTATCCATTGTATTGCAGAAAAAACCTAAGTAAAACAAGGAAGAGAGAATAAAACTGAACTTTCAAAAAATATATTATTAATTTTTAAAAATTTGACCAGAGAGACACAGAGAGGGAAAAGGAGAAAGCAAGCTGACAGGTTCAGGACTTGAACCATGGTCAGCCATGTGGGAGTCCAATGCCTTAACCACCATACCACCTGCCAGCCCCCTAAAATTGAACCTTTTAAAATTAATATTCAATCAAACTCCGATTCCACTGTTTAACTATTAGTACAAAACAAATTATACTTCAAAGTCTAATCAGAACATACTACGAGTCAGAGAAGTTTTTTTTCAGGCCCCTGAAAAAAACACATGACTCTTTTTCTTCTCAGTCCTACTTCTCTAGAATATAATAAAATAAAAAGAACAGAGAGGTGGATAGAAAATGACTAAATGGAAAAAGAAAGTTGAATAAGAAAATTAATAATAAAAGGAATAATAAAATGGAGATA